TGTGTGTGTGTGTGTGTGTGTGTGTGTTGTGTGTGTGTGTGTGTGTGTGTGTGTGTGTGTGAGAGATTGGCCCACTTGCCCTGTAAGGTTACGGGTTAGGGTTAGGGTTAGGCATGTGTTGGTTACGGTTAGGATAAGTCTCCAGGAAATGCATGTAAGTCAATGTAATGTCCCCTGAAGTGATGTATACATGGTGTGTGTGTGTGTGTGTGTGTGTGTGATTGGCCCACTTGCCCTGTGTCAATGTGCAGTAGTGAAGTCATTTATCCTGTTCAAGGGCAGCGGGGACGCCAGGAGTGAGAGAAACAGACACTGCGAGAAAATTAGGATAAATTGGTGGGTGAGAGAGGAGAAAAAAGATTGGGGACTTAGAGAGAAAGGTATAACACACACACACAAACACACACACACACACACACACACACTCATACACACACTGACACACACACTCACAAAGATGTATGTCCTCAAACTGAAGGGTTGGTGTGTAGTCACTTATCTGCTGAAGGGTGGCTCTGTGCGACAAGGTTAATGCCCCCTTACAAAATCTCAGGAGACATGACACACACACACTCACACACACTCACACACTCATTCTGACCGACAATATGGATTTTTTAGCATGGGGTGGTGACACATTTTATTCATGATGGGCACTGTTTCTTCTCTTGGATTTATGCCCGTATTTATTTATTTATGATCAACTTCCATTTATTAGATTTTCTGTGTGTGTTTGTTTTAGGCATTTGAGCTAGACTGGTGGTCTCTCTATTGAATTTGAACATTTCAAACTTTGGCGCCTTATCTTGCTTTCACTGTGGCCCAGATTAGGCCCCAAGACACTGAGCAACACACTGGGTGTTTCTCAATCTCGAGGATGCTGGCTTGGTAGTCGCGTACTTCCAAGTCACTTCCTTCAGAAACGAAGCAAGTATGCTTCCAAGCCATGGCTTCGGAAAACGAAGAAGAATGGAACAGGCTAAGAAGTGTGCCACTCTCTCTAATGGTTTCAACATAAACTGTACCGAAAATAAATACCTCACGATGTCTATCTAATTATGAACTTGCTTTACTTTCACGGAACACATTTTTGGTGATAACAAATGTAACAAAGTAACATATTTACCAACACATGTTCTACGCCACTACATACTTACATTTAAATGTGTGCTGCGTCGGGTCAGCCATTCTCCGCAAGGGTTTTTTAAATTGGTCCGTGCGCAAAGCATTGTGGGGATTTTAAGGACGCGAAGTCTACCCATGTGCAGCCTAGAAATTTCCCCCAAACCAAGGACGCGACCTCGGTGGAATTCCAAGTATGCTGGACATTGGAACAGTACTTCGGCGGCACTCGATGACGTAGCATCCTTGAAATATTGGCTTGGAAGCCAGAATCCTCGAGATTGAGAAACGGCCACTGACTGCTAAAATGATGCTTACAATTAAAATGCTTCTTTTTATTCATACCTCTCATGGTTTACGTATATATGTGTCTATGTATTATTATATATATATATAATTGGGTGTACAGGAGTGTATGTATGTATGTATGAATATATTCATACATGTATATTCTTATAAACGTAACAAAAAAAGTAAGGCAATTTGTGTTTGGTAAATTATTTCTATGTTGTAACAATGCTTTTGTTTTCTTACCTTTCCAATGGTACCACATTTGTGAGGAACAAGCATTTGTGGGATGAGCAGCAGAGCTGAGTATGTGGGGTGCCCCCATGAACAATGTGACACATCTCCTCTGCCAATGCCAAACAGGCTTTCCAACGGTATAATGGCGCATTTCCACTGCAACGGGGTAGCCCCGTTTAAGCGTCCTCGCTCTGGCCTCGGGCTGCCTCGCTGGCCGGCCGAGGCCGTGGCGCATTTCCATTACAGTTTAGGACCTGGGGTAGCAACGCAGTGTAGGCGGGGTGATCGGCTTTGTTTTTGTTCACATTTCGAGTTGTTCCGTCGAGCTCCCGCTGGATTTGATCATCCCCAATGAGATGTAGGAACGTCGTCACCTCCTCGGTCGACCACGGTGTGCTTTTCTTATTAGACGTAGCCATTTTTGTAGCTCATCCGTTTACAAAATGCTGTTTATAAAAATGCTGCAAGCTTGCTTCTAAATATATATGCGACGCTAGGGATGAACTCGCGCGCGATCTTGTGACGATTCTCTCTGACCAATCACCAGGCGAGAGTGTTGACGTCACTAGTTCAGCCCTGGCCCTGGTCTGAGGGAACCACGATTTTATGGGGCCGGAAAAAGAGGGAAAAAGTACCCGCTAGCCGGTGCTAGGCTATATGGAAAGGCCACCAAAAACTGGCCTGGCCGCTTGAGGACGGTTAAGGACGCTTAAACGGGGCTACCCGCTGCAGTGGAAATGCGCCATAAGATGTATTGCCAAAAAGCATTGTTACAACATAGAAATCATCTACCAAACACAAATTGCCTTACTTTGTGTGTTAAGTTTATATCTGTATTCTTTGGGACGGTGAGAAACAGCATTTCGGTCTCCCTGTTTGTATCACACATGCAGAGAAATTGACAATAAAGTTGACCTTTTTTCCACTTCTCATGATTTTATGTGATCTTTTGGCCCCACAGAATGTTGCTGAGACGGAGATGGAGGAAGGCCAGACCCAGCCAGACCCCCCGCGGCCACCACAGGAGCCCAAAGGAGGAGACCAGCCCTCCGAACCGGCCCCGCTCCAGACCCCCGCTCCAGAGGAGGCTCCGTCGGAGGGCTCGGACCAGAAGGAGCCACCGGGAGACGAGGAGGAAACGGGCGACTCAGCGTCCCAGCTCCAAGCCAAGCCTCTGTGGAAGCCCATCCCCCCTCTCCTGCCCGAGTCCAACATGAGTGAGAACGGAAGGACCAGGGACCAGATCTGCCAGACTGACGGCAGCGAGGGTCACAACTCAGGTGGGTGAAGCTCTTGCCGTCCTCGTACAGCCACCTTCACGCCGAAGCTGTCCGTCAGCCTCCTGTGGAGCTTTATGGCTGGCTGCGTGCTCCACATCACTTCACACAGGAAGTGGAACAAAAAGAGGCGGTGCAGATACTGTGCACCGCTGATTAGTCTAACATTTCGAAAAGTCTTTATTTAGAACCTTTCATTAAATGTTCAGACCTGCAAAAGTAAACCTTTCTCTGCTTTGATTTGGGAAAGTAAAATGAAAATGAGAGGCATATAAATATACAACATAACATTTATATTCTGGAAAAACAGAATGTTCTCCTAAATGGATATTTGGCTCACCGAGCTGTAACCACTTCCTCCACCAAAAGGCTGCTGGCTCAGCATTACGCCTCCGTCATCATAGCAGGTTGATCTGAAACTACAGGAAACCAATTTTGCAACACTTCTTCAGCTGACAACTAGTGTGATTCAAGGATAAGAACATGTGCTGCATGGCCATTGCATCTGCCATCATGGTGACATCATGTCTAAATCGGACATATTTGTTTCCTTCCTCCGTTAGTTCCTTCCTTCCTTCCTGCTTTTCTTCCACAGTAGCTTCCCTTTAAACACAAAGGTAGACATCTTGATTCAGATCCTGCTAACAGAGCTACTCACGGTAAAGGGAACTTTTTTGCTGGGCCGACATTTCTGCTTGGTTGATCTTTGACCCTGTTGCGGGGGGGGGTCACTGACCTGCCCCGCTGGAAACTATAGCAGCTAGCCTAGCCGCGGTGTGGGGGGAGGGGCACGGGGAAAACTCATTCTGTTAACACATAATCTCCATCGCTCTCTCTGTCAAACTCACTCACACAGTTGTCAGTCACTTTTTTTGCTCTTTTTCTGTGTCTGCGTCTTTGTGGGCGTGTCTGCCTGTGTCTCTCACACACACACACACACACACACACACACACACACACACACACACACACACACATGCACACATACCATGTATACATCACTTCAGGGGACATTACATTGACTTACATGCATTTCCTGGAGACTTATCCTAACCTTAACCATAACCAACACATGCCTAACCCTTACCCTTACCCTAAGCCTAACCAAGTCTTCACCCTAAAATTAATGATTCCCCTCATGGGGACCTCCAATTTGTCCCCATAAGGGAGGCGAGTCCCCACACGTGACTGTGTAAACAGATTTAGGTCCCCACAAGTATAGTAATGCTAGGCCACACACACACACACACACACACACACACACACCCACACACACACACACACACACACACACACACACACACACACACACACACACACACACACACACACACACACACACACACACACACACACACATTGCCAAGCTGCTCTACTTCCCCTGCAGTATGAATTTGTGTATTTGTGTGTTTCTCCTTATAGTGTTGTTATCTGACCAGAAGTAATAATAATAAATAATAATTCATTTATTTTATATAGGCACATTACATTACATTACATTTAGCTGACGCTTTTATCCAAAGCGACTTACAATAAGTGCATTCGACCAGGAAGACACAACCTTGAAGAAAACAGAATCATAAAGTACATCAGGTTTCATAGAGCCAAACATTTCAAGTGCTACTCAACTGGCTTTAGATAAGCCAGTCCTTTATTAGTATATAAGTGCTTCGTTAATAGTTCTAACGCTCGGCACCTTTCAAGGCTCTCAAGGTCGCCATACGAACACATAAAAAACAAGATACACAATACATAACACCAGCATAAGAGACATAAACAAGACAATGCAGTTTATAAATCAATCAAATAACCAAATCAATAAAAAACAGAGGATGTGTGATGGATAATGATCAGGGTGGATATGCGAGTGTGAAGAGATATGTTTTGAGGCGTGATTTGAAAATGGGGAGAGAGTCAGTGTTGCGGATGTCAGGTGGGAGGGAGTTCCAGAGGCGGGGTGCAGAGGCGGCTGAAGGCTCTAGACCCCATGGTGGTTAAACGGAAGGGGGGTGCGGTGAGGCTGAGGGAAGCAGAAGGGAAGGGAAGTCACTTGATCTTCCATAGAACAAAAACAAATATCAAAAACAAAACGTGGATCTTTGTCACAGCTAGAAACATTGACAGTGTTTTACTTAGAGATTCATCACGGTTCTTTTAAAATAATGAGAAATGTGATTACAGGGTGTTCGCTGGTGTTTGTGAGAGTAATTGGTCGGCTCTCGCTGCTGTTTACCCCTCTCTAATTACTTTTCATTGCAACGGGCATACAGTCGTCGTATTGATGTAAAAGCCAAGTGGCTGGAATAATAAAAAAAAGATGAAAATCGCTAGAATGAGAGCACTTTGACTCCCGCAATCCATCTTAATACCTATTATGGATCGTGGAGTCTCAGGCGACTACCATCAATTATACAGGAACCAACAGCTTTATTTTTTATGTTTTATACAAAGGAAAAATACAATTGTTTGGACCTATTAGTAAAAAAAAAAACACCGTAACAGGATCCCCTCCATTCAAAAAAGTGTTTTTCTAATGTTTATGATGGCGATTAAACCATAAGAGCAACTCAGTGAATCAAAGAATGATGATTGGCCGAACATTCTTCAAATACACTTAAATTCATTTCATCCTGGTTCATATTTCTTATTAGTTTTAGCTGATAAAGTGAAACTGTGTGACACCCAAGCTGTTGGACTAAGCACAAAAACAATTGTCATCAGCATGCCACCACTGCGTGTGTGTGTGTGGCGTGTGTGTGTGTGTGTATGTGTGTGTGTGTGTGTGTGTGTGTGTGTGTGTGTGTTTCAAGTTTCAAGGCTTTTATTGTCATGTGTGCATATCTACAGTGTAGTTATGACAATGAAAATCTTAGGTCACAGACTCCTCCAACAGTGCAACACAATACACAGATACAATAGTACAAGTAAATAAAATAAAATAGAATATGATAGCAACAGAATATGATAGAAACTATGCAGAATAGTCTATACAGTCATTGGAATATTGATATATGATATATGTGAGTGGCAAACAGATGAATGTTCTGTATGTTCTTTCAAAAGCACAGGTGTGTAACAGTCTTATGGCCTGTGTGTGTGTGTGTGTGTTGTGTGTGTGTGTGTGTGTGTGTGTGTGTGTGTGTGTGTGTGTGTGTGTGTGTGTGTGATGTGTGTGTGTGTGATGGTGTGTGTGTGTGTGTGTGTGTGTGTGTGTGTGTGTGTGTGTGTGTGTGTGTGTGTGTGGTGTGTGTGTGTGTGTGTGTGTGTGTGGCCTAGCATTACTATACTTGTGGGGACCTAAATATGTTTCCCACAGTCACGTGTGGGGACTCGCCTCCCTTATGGGGACAAAATGGAGGTCCCCATGAGGGGAATCATTCATTTTAGGGTGAAGACTTGGTTAGGGTAAGGGTTAGGGTTAGGCATGTGTTGGTTAGGGTTAAGGTTATGATAAGTCTCCAGGAAATGCATGTAAGTCAATATAATGTCCCCTGAAGTGATGTATACATGGTATGTGTGTGTGTGTGTGTGTGTGTGTGTGTGTGTGTGTGTGTGTGTGTGTGTGGGTGTGTGTGTGTGTGTGTGGTGTGTGTGTGTGTGTGTGTGTTGTGTGTGTGTGTGTGTGTGTGTGTGTGTGTGTGTGTGTGTGTTGTGTGTGTGTGTGTGTGTGTGTGTGTGTGTGTGTGTGTGTGTGTGTGTGTGTGTGTGTGTGTGTGTGTGTTGATGGAGGTAATGAGGTCAGAGTGAATCACTGTCTCATTCAGACCTCATTGCCTGACAGTGATTGTGTGTAGCCTTTAACCACACTGCAATATACCCTCTGTGTCGTAGCAGGAGATGGAGTATTTCTCTGAGTCTGTCTTACTGATGTAATTATATGCCGGATTTGATCAAATACACCCCCCCCCCCCCCCCCCCCCCCTCTCTTTCCAGGCCTGTGTGCGGAGCCCGGAGATCCTCCTCTTCTCCAGCAGCCTCTGCAGACCTCCAAGTCAGGGATCCAGCAGATCATTGAATGCTTCCGTTCAGGTTTGTGTGTTTTCTTATGATTTATTTTCATTATTTATGGCGCGGGCACAGTGCAAATGTTTCCAGATGGCAGGAATTACACGTCCTGCGTCTTTATGTCTTGCAATATACAAAAAAATCAAATGAACCACCAAGAAAATGAGTAAGAAAGATAATGTGTTTAATGTAAACCAATTTCGAATAGAGTATAATTTTAGCAGTCTGTCTCCAGCAGTTCGTCACTTTCCACTGGGGAGCGTTTAAGAATGTAAAACAGTGGCAGTACTTTGCATTAACTGCAGCTCAACTCCAGGTGACTCAGTGCTACTCATGTGTGTAAAATACCAAACAGAGAGAACAATACACGATACTACTCAGACAAAAGTGCTCTATTTGTTGCTTCAAATATGACTCACATCCAACAAAGCACTGAAAACATCAGACGGCAATGACGGAAAACGTGGAGCTGATGACAGCGGTGACGCAGAAGTGGCACAAAGCAATCGTCATGGCAGTCCTTTTTTTAAATGTCACAGCGGTTCTGTAGTAGGGCTGCTCGATTATGGCAAAAATCATAATCTCGATTATTTGGGTCAATAATTGATATCACGATTATTAAAAACGATTTACTTTGAAAACATCCATTTATTGAGAATTGAACAGTTGATTACCCTGAACTTACCCTGAACTTTAACTCAACTGAAAAACCAATACAAATGTTTTTTATAATAAAAAATAATCGTTTTATTTCGATTACGTTGTTTTCGTAATCGTTGCAAGCCATAATCGTAGCCTACAGTTTTCTTCTGTTTTCTTGGATCATATAAGATTATATTATGCCCAGAGTTGACAGACCTTTTTCTCGTTCATATTCAAGCTGTATCAACTAGAATTTACAATTTAAAAGGCTTGTTGTATTGAAGGGTTTCGATGTTCAGTGGACTTTATGAGCCTGTCACATGACATCAGTGGACATTTTTAAACGCCAGCTAAAGACACATCTTTTTAAATTAGCTTTTGTATTAGCACACACCCCCACCCTTTAAATGTTCTTTTATTCTTTATGATTTACCTACCGTTATAATAGGCACTTTCACACAAGTACTTTGCCGTACTTAGTTCCCAGTACTTAGTTCCCATTCCCAGTACTTAGTTCATCATGAACTCTTTAGTTCTAATGAACTAATATATATATATATTATATATAGCCCGTATAGCCCTTTCGTTTACACGAGGCCGTAACAAAACGATAGAAACGGACCCCGCAAACGATAACGGGTCCCAAGGTGGATAGATCTGCAAACGGAGCGCTCTGGGGGTCAAACGGCTCCGTGTAATCGCCTCTATACGATCATTTTCTGATAACGATGAAATAGCCCCGCCTCCCTCTCCCCACGTCTCCTGCTCAGAGATCAGCCGCTGGGCTGTCAGAAGAGGGGGAGGAAAAGAGAGGCTCCGTTTATTATTCTACATATGTACTACAGCGTTTCCAGCGGTCTCGTGTGAACGGACACGTTAATTGAGCCGAATGCGTGTGAACGGAAGACTTTTTTGAAAACGCATACGGTGCGTAAACGCAAACGTTCCCGTGTAAATGGGGTAAAAAGGTTCTCATGAACTAAGTTCTAGTTCCGGATTTTTTATCCGGAACTATGTTGTGAACGCAACATTTCAAGAACTATCGGAACTATACTGGGAAAAGTACTCCGGTGTGAAAGCGCCTATTGTTTTATTTATTTTATAGGTCTTAATCTTTTTATTTGTATTTCTGTTGTACCTATATGTTCACTTTGTTTTATGGGGTTTTATGTTTTATATCGTTGCATCGACTCAGTTCAGTCAGAGAGAAACTATTATTTATTTTATTTTACTTAATTTTTATTATCCTACATTTTACCTCCTTGTGTCTATTAACCTGATAAAATGTTATATTTTGTTGCATGTACCTTTTTAAAGTTCTTAACAAATAATCTGAGGGGAATTTCTTGTTGTTTGTTTTTAACTTGTGATGTGTCGCCATTTTGTAAAGCACTTTGAGCTGCATGTGTTGTATGAAAAGTGCTATATAAATAAAGCTTTATTATTATTACAGACATCTTTCAAACAACTACATGACTAAACGTTTAAACTCATTTCCTTTTCCTTTGGCTTGCAGGCACGAGCCAGCTGAGACACATGCTGCTGAGGGAGGTGGACACCATCTTTGAGTGTAAACTGTGTCGCAGTCTGTTCAGAGGCCTGCCCAACCTCATCACACACAAAGAGTACTACTGCCTGTCACGGATGCCCGAGCCCGACGGTTAGTGACGCAACACGTCAGCATGCACGACCTGCACACACACACACACACATACACACATACACACATACACACACACACACACACACACACACACACACACACACACACACACACACACACACACACACACCACACACACACACACACACACACACACACACACCACACACACACGTCCAGAATACAAACAACTAAACTGCTTTCAAAAATCTAAGCACAAAAACACGACCAGAAAACTCAATATAAAAATGAAAAGGCAAAGCAGGTAAAACGAGTGCATGCGAGGACATGGAAATGCAATCTTTATCGTATCAACCTGACAAACAGGCAAGGATCCAACTGTATCAGGCACATATGTTAGTTTGTGCCTAATACACAAACTTATAATCATTGTTAACTTCTCCTTGCTTCTCCACATTTTACTTTAAAGGTCCCCTATTATACTCTCTTTCATCAATATATTATAGCTCTCAGATATATACAAAACATGTCTCTGATTGGCTGAAACACCAAACAGATCATTGCAGCATTACCCATAATCCCCTCTGTTTCAGCCCTGTTTCCAAAGTGCTGATTCTCTGTCTGTTACTTTAGATGAAAATAAGGAGCCCCTCCCCACGCCCCTCTGAGAGACATTTGGTTACAAAGAACTCAATGGTGCTCTAAGAGGAGATTCAGGTGATAAGAGGGGGGGGGGGGTTACCTTGGTTGCTGATTGGCTAATGGTTACACAAGCCAACACATCGTTATGACATCATAAAGTGGCCAAAATCTGATCAGCTCATTTTCAGACAGGTTTTTATAGAAATGGATCAAAAAGAGAGAGAATCTTTGTTCCTGAAACTTTCAGAGTCTCTTTCCACAGAGGGGACACATGTTGATGTAGAAGAGACATGAAGAAGAGGGGACACATGTTGATGTAGAAGAGACATGAAGAAGAGGGGATACATGTTGATGTAGAAGAGACATGAAGAAGAGGGGACACATGTTGATAGAAGAGACATGAAGAAGAGGGGACACATGTTGATGTAGAAGAGACATGAAGAAGAGGGGACACATGTTGATGTAGAAGAGACATGAAGAAGAGGGGACACATGTTGATGTAGAAGAGACATGAAGAAGAGGGGACACATGTTGATGTAGAAGAGACATGAAGAAGAGGGGACACATGTTGATGTAGAAGAGACATGAAGAAGAGGGGACACATGTTGATGAAGAAGAGACATGAAGAAGAGGGGACACATGTTGATAGTAGAAGAGACATGGAGAAGAGGGGACACATGTTGATGTAGAAGAGACATGAAGAAGAGGGGACACATGTTGATGTAGAAGAGACATGAAGAAGAGGGGACACATGTTGATGTAGAAGAGACATGAAGAAGAGGGGACACATGTTGATGTAGAAGAGACATGGAGAAGAGGGGACACATGTTGATGTAGAAGAGACATGAAGAAGAGGGGACACATGTTGATGTAGAAGAGACGTGAAGAAGAGGGGACACATGTTGATGTAGAAGAGACAGTGAAGAAGAGGGGACACATGTTGATGTAGAAGAGACATGAAGAAGAGGGGACACATGTTGATGAAGAAGAGACATGAAGAAGAGGGGACACATGTTGATGTAGAAGAGACATGAAGAAGAGGGGACACATGTTGATGAAGAAGAGACATGAAGAAGAGGGGACACATGTGATGAGAGAGACATGAAGAAGAGGGGACACATGTTGATGTAGAAGAGACATGAAGAAGAGGGGACACATGTTGATGTAAGAAGAGACATGAAGAAGAGGGGACACATGTTGATGTAAGAAGAGACATGAAGAAGAGGGGACACATGTTGATGTAGAAGAGACATGAAGAAGAGGGGACACATGTTGATGTAGAAGAGACATGAAGAAGAGGAGACACATGTTGATGTAGAAGAGACATGAAGAAGAGGGGACACATGTTGATGTAGAGGAGACATGAAGAAGTGGATTTTGCATAATAGCTGACCTTTTAAAATCGTCACTCCAATGTTTCTTCTCTCTCTGTCACGCTTTCGGCCTTCCACTCATTATTCTCCCTAAATGTCCTCCATCGTTACACACACACACACACACACACACACACACACACACACACACACACACACACACACACACACACACACACACACACACACACACACACCACACACACACACACACACACACACACACACACACACACACACACACACACACACACACACACACTCACTCACACACACTCACACTCACACTCACACACAGCAACATGTTCGATCCATCAATCATTTCCCTCACTCAGAGTGAGTGGATCTAAGGAAATCCACTTTGAGCTGGCAGCATTTGTGTTATAAACTTCTCATTAGCACCAGTGTGTGTCCAATTCTCTGTTCTCTGCTGCTCAGAAGTGGAAGGAAACCATGGAGCCTCGGAGACTTCTCTGTTTTAATTCAACTCACCTCTCCTCCTAAAAGGGAAATCAATCTCAACACATATTATGCACAGTTAAATCCACTATAATGATCGTTGTAGTAAGAAAATAACTTCATTAATCTCCTTTCTATCTGCTTGTGGTCTTAATTCACTTGTTTGTTACCAGAAAGTGTATCGTATTGTTATTTTGATGAATGTAGTAATTGGTGTCTGTTTTTCTCTGTTGAGACGCCGGGCATTCATTGTGCAGATACTGAATAAACAAAAATGTTTTTTCTTGTAAAACCCTCAATTTTTCCCCATCCTCTCTGACAGCGGACCTTTACAGCCTCCAGTGATGATTTGTGGTGCGAGTGCCCTTAAATTGAAACCCATTCTCCATCCTCTCTTTATCTACTGGTGTAAATAATGGTATGAAGTAAACTTGCACATTTGGCAAAAGAAAAACATCCACATAAAGGAGGCTTTAGAGAGGCAGAATAATTGCATTCACTTTAAAAGCCCTGCGTGGATAAGATTATGTTCCAAACAAAAAGAGCACAAACAGGAAGTGTGTGAGACCCTCGTCTACTGAGAACATAAATGGAGTCACACAAACCTATTCACATGCTGCCTTTGTTTGTGTTCAGTAGCACACAAGAGAATCAAAGATATGAGGTGTATGGTCTTTGGGAGAGGATATGGTCTTTTCAAAATATGGGCTTTTATCTGATGCCACAGTGATTTCACTCATTTCCTCAGTATGATGATTTGCTAACCATTAGATGACTCCTTTCCACTAATTCATACATTTCCATTCTGGTTTGTTATCTACTTCTGCTACTTTATACTATCAAGGCTACGGGTACATTTTAAAAGCTGCTATAAGGAAACATGGCTTGTGTCCTTTTTTTGTTTTTTTCGATAGAAATCTATTAATTTGTTTAGCTTTCTTTCTGTAAGACCAGAGTTTGGTATGTATAGATTAAGTTTCCAAATGTTACACAGGGACATCCACTAAGTACACACTGACTCAGGTGGTGCCATTGATTGATTGATTGATTGAAAAGTTTATTAACAGCTTGTATATTGGGTACAGTAAGACAGCTCAAAACATACAATTGTTAAGGGGATGCAGACCAGAGAAATACTTTCGTCTTGTTTACATTAAGGTCCCCCATTTCCAATTCATCATGTCATTTAAGACATATAAGACATATAAGACATATTTTACATACAGATGGCTTATTTACAATTTACATACTGGTGGTTTTTTACATACAGATTGCTTATTTACAGCCATTCTTCTTTAGCTAGTCGTAAAAGCTATATTTATCACATTCATAGCTATGTTCTTCATTCCCAGATAGACTAACACCTAGTAAGACGTCGCTCAATTTCCAGGAGGTTTGTTAAACAGTAACCGACTAAAATGCTATGGCAAGCTCACACCTGTTCTATTGTATCTGCAAAACACATTAGCTTATGTTGCTAACGGTAGCTACCACTGTCTGAAGCTCCACGCGCTGCAGCCTTGTTCACTAGGTTTGTGGAAAAAACAAAACAAAAGCAAAGCACACTGTGTGTACTTCAGAGACCCTGGGAAATTCAAGCACCCAATGATAAGTGAGCTGGGTCGAGTCTGATATTGGTTTGGGACGCTCAAGGATGCTTGGACCGACCTTATATTAACCTTAATCAATCCTTCCGTAACTATTATCTTTAATTCTTATTGATTTCCTTCATTTTGATTTATTAATTATAGGTCCGTCGGGTGATGACAAGCAGAGTGTGGCCATGAAGGAATTACTGGACGTCATTTACCCCCGAGCTCCAGACTACGTGGTCCGACTGGAGCCCATTCAGACCAGCAACAAGGCCGTGTTCCAGTACCTCACCACCGAGGAGGAGCTGGCTAGATTTCCATCGCAGACACCCAGGTAGGGGGCATGCTGATGTTTTTAAATACACTTATTTTGTTAGCGGTTGTTGGGAAAATACTGAATGTATTCTTCCAATATCAGAGCACACATGATAACAAAGACCCTACATATAGAATGAGTAGCTGTGTACGTAACAGGATGTATGATTACCAAGCCGGTGACGAGTGATTATTAACATTTGGAAGTATTCAGAAAAGGTCTGCATTTTGAGATTTTGAGAAAAAGTCAGAACTTTGAGATTTGCAGGGAAAAAAAAGACAACATTTTCAGAAAAAACTCAGTATTTTGTTCATGACAGGATGTATGATTACCTACAAGACCCGTTATTCCTCCACCTTGTGACTGTGTAACTCCCTCTCTTGGATATCAGCATGTGAAGGACACTGTTCAGGAACTAGTTGATGCTCTGTATGTGATGACACTGCAAACATCGCTGCTACAACCCGCTGCTGCAGATACACGCTTTACAACATCAGGAGGATACGTCCCCAGCTGACCCAGAAAGCGACTCAGGTTCTGGTCCAGGCTCTCGTCATCTCACGCCTAGACTACTGCAACTCCCTCCTGGCTGGTCTACCTGCATGTGCCATCCGACCTCTGCAGCTCACCCAGAATGCAGCGGCTCGTCTGGTCTTCAACCTTCCTAAATGTTCCCACACCACTCCGCTCCTCCGCTCCCTTCACTGGCTTCCGGTAACTGCTAGAATCCACTTCAAGACACTGGTACTTGCGTACCATGCTGCGAATGGATCTGGCCCTTCCTACATCCAGGACATGGTTAAACCGTACACCCCAGCGCGTGCACTCCGCTCTGCATCAACCAAACGGCTCGCTGCGAGGGGGACCCAAGTTCCCATCAGCAAAAACACGTGGGTTTGCTATCCTGGCTCCAAGATGGTGGAATGAGCTCCCCATTGACATCAGGACAGCAGATAGCTTACACACCTTCCGGCGCAGACTGAAAACTCATCTCTTTCGACTCCACTTCGAGCAATAGAACTATTAACAATGCACTTATATACTAATAAAGGACTGGCTTATCTAAAGCCAGTTGAGTAGCATTTGAAATGTTTGGCTCTATGAAACCTGATGTGCTTATATGATTCTGTTTCTTCAAGTTTGTATCTTCCTGATCGAATGTACTTATTGTAAGTCGCTTTGGATAAAAGCGTCAGCTAAATGCAATGTAATGTAATGATGACTACTTCCATTCTGGAGAGGATCATAAATACATGGATCCTGATTAGTGAAGCTCAAGCCGGTGACGAGTGATATCTTCTTAACAGCGGTTTACAGAGGATTCATATGGTGTCTCTTGGCTGTCTTCAAATCAAATGGGATTTTAGGAGAGCTTCTCTTGTCTCTGACGGTTTGTCTCGATGTCCTTCACAGTGCTAGAGAGAGTCCGGTAGCGTGGGAGGGAGAGCAGGGGGAGGGAGTCGACAACAGCCAGGCGAGCCAGCCGGAGAGCCACAGCAGCCCGGGACACACTCAGGATAAGAAGAAGTGGGAGGGGGAGGAGGAGGCCAAAGAAGAGCCGCCGCCACCACCCGAAGACGAGGGCTCCACCAGCGGGGTAAGTGACCCGAGAAACACCTGCTGTGTCCTCATACGCTCGCTGATGATGTTTCTCACACTTTGTTCCTCTTCGCCCCCCCCCGACCAGGTGGACGATGTGACCATCTCCTGCTGCCTGTGCGGTCAGGACTTCAACTCGCGCCGCAGCATCCGGCGTCACTGTCGCAAGATGCACCAGAGCAAACTGGACGAACTCCGGAAGTTCACCGAGACACGGACTGTTCCCACCAGCCTGCTCTCCATGGTGAAAGGTGAGAGGTTAAATACAGCCTGCTCTCCATGGTGAAAGGTGAGAGGTTAAATACAGCCTGCTCTCCATGGTGAAAGGTGAGAGGTTAAATACAGCCTGCTCTCCATGGTGAAAGGTGAGAGGTTAAATACAGCCTGCTCTCCATGGTGAAAGGTGAGAGGTTAAATACAGCCTGCCCCAAAACATGCGAAAAAGGTTGAACATTGTGAATCGTTGTGATTGAGAGTCCAGGTAATTATGATAAGAAATGTTTTACAAACCCACCATACGGTCATAACAAATACGTGCAGTGATTAAAATGTTCCCAACATTTTTACAAAAATCAAATGATAATTCTTGCGTTGGTGGAAAACTATATTTTCAAGACAAGCAGCCTTAAACTCGTCAGTACTTGCATGCTCATTGGATGCGGAGACATTTCAATGTGTTGTACATAACTAATGAAAAGAAATACATGTGTTCAATGCTCAATATCTCATTATGGGGACAACAAATATTTAGTCTATTCATCATTACGTAACACTAGCTCAGCTCCATAGTTCTTTTTACTCTGTTTGCTATAGAAGTTATTTCTTTCTTAGAGTTTCAAGATAACCATAAGGATGAATAATGATTGTTGTTGTTGCTTCAGGTCGGCCGAGGACTCTCAGCACACCGACCGGAAAGTCCTGTCCTGTCTGCATGAAAACCTTCGCCACCAAAGCCAACGTGCGGCGTCACTTCGACGAGGTGCACCGCGGCCTGCGGAGGGATAACATCACTCCCAACATAGCATCTCGCCCCGGACAGCCCCTCAATCTGGAGGTCACCCCCCCCAGGAAGAGCAACAACTCCTCTCCGACTCGTAGCAGCAGCTCCAAGTCGACCCCTGTGACCTCTAAAACTCCGCCTCCCAGCCAAACCCAGTCCAAAGCTCCGAGCACGCCCCCCGCCTCGTCACAGGCGGCCCCTTCCTCCAGCCGCTGCACGCTCTGCAAGAGGAACTACAGCTCTCAGGTTAGTTTGTCAGCGTTCAGTTACGGCCCGTCCACACAGCAGCGTTAAACAAATCTTCCAACGCTTCTGCCCATTGACTTTGAATGGGGTGACGTCACTTTGCCTCGCTTTTCGCCGAACTGCATTGTGGGGAAGCAAAGCGAAGATTTCTAGGATTTCCAGGATTTTCAGGATTCAAAAGTTGAGCAATGTTCAACTTTTGAAGCTGAGGTGGAAGCGTCAGCCAATCAAATCCCGTTTATGCAAATCTGACAGTACAAGCGCTAGCCAATCAAACCACGTGCAAGCTGGGAGAGCTAGACCGCAGTTCATTTTCTATATTCCTGAAAATGGAGGAGAAGTTAGTTATTGCGGTAGCAAATCACCCGGTTCTTTATGACCAGTCGCTAATAACTTACCGGGATACAAACCGGAGGAGCGAGGCATGGAGGGAGGTGGCAGAGACAGTGGGTGAAACTGGTAGGTTTTCGCCTGTTTGGGGAGTTTATATCCAGTTTACTTCGTTTTAACATTGCTATTGCTTTGTATGTCGGGGTCGGGAGATTCATGTGATTGGTTGTTGGTCGCGTTGCTCGCAAAAAATCCCCAAGCTTTCAGACACGCCCAGCTCCAAGATTTTTTTAACGCTGCTGTGTGGACGGGCCATTAGTGTGCTCCAAACATCTGGAACAAACTAGAAACCTGCAGGTCCGCTGCAACTCTTTTAAATCCAGGCTGAAGACTTTCCTTTTTGCCGCTGCTTTTAATTGACATATCTCACACTGCACTGTAACTTTTATTCATGTACCTTTGTCATTCATGTTTTATTATCTTTGCTTTTCAATTAGTGTTTTGAAATGCCATTTTCAAATATGTTTCTGCTGCACCATTTCTTCATGCTCTTAATGTCTTTCATTGTTGTAAAGCACTTTGAATGACCTTGTGCTGAAAGGTGCTATATAAATAAACTTGCCTTACTCTCAGCTTTTCTAGATTTGAAAAAACTCCGTGCCGGGCATCTGTTCTAGTTGGTGCTATTTATCACCTTGTGTTGGTTGGAATTCTCATGTCTTATCTAAAGGAGGAAAACGATGATTCATTATTATTTCTCTCTTTGTATTTCAGCTCATGTTGAAGAGACACATGCGCATCGTCCACAAAATATACAGCATGAAAAACGTTCGCTCTGCCCCGCCGCCCGCCCCCCCCCGCTCCGGCGGCCCCGCCTCCGAGCAGCAGCGCTAACTCCACCACGAGCAACAACGTCAGGGTGAAAGAGGAAGCAGTAGAAGCCTCAGATGAAGAGGAAGAGGAGGAGGAGGAGGAAGGAAGAAGAAGAAGAGGAGGAAGTGGACACTAGTCCGGCCCCGTCTCCTAGCAACAGCACCGCGACAGCTAAAGGTGTCCCTGTGGCGAACAACGCCATGAAAGTGAAGGAGGAGGAGGCGCCGTCGAGCCCGAAGGTGGCGTCATTATCTTCGTCATCCTCACGCGGCACCGGACCCTCCAAAACCCCCAAACTGTCGGTGGGCTTCGACTTCAAGCAGCTCTTCTGCAAACTGTGCAAGCGGCAGTTCAGCTCCCGGCAGAACCTCACGAAGCACATCGAGCTGCACACGGACGGCAACGAGATCTTCATCAAGTTCTACCGCTGCCCGCTCTGCCGCTACGAGTCTCGCCGCAAACGGGACGTCCTGCGCCACGTGACGGTGGTCCACAAGAAGTCCTCGGCGTACCTGGGCAAGATCATGCCCAAACTGGAGAGCCGGGCGGTGAAGAGGCAGGCCGAAGTGGTCCTGAACAGCGGGACCCCCAACAAGAGGATCGGCAGCAGCGGGGTCAAGGAGGAAGTGAACGGGCGCCCCCCTTCTTCCTCCCCCTCTTCCTCCCCTTCGCCTCCCATCACTCGCAAGCAGGAGGTCTCCACACCTGCAACAACCTCCTCCTCTTCATCGTCTTCCTCCTCGCACCCCGCCCCCGCCACTCGCAAACAACAGGAAGTGTCATCGCCGGCGTTAAGCCCCTCCCCTCCCCTCACCCGTAAGCAGGAGAGACAGCAGACCCACCAGCCTCGCCCCGTCAGCCCCCCGCTGACCCGCCGCAGTGAGAAACACACACACCAACGCAGCTCCTACTCCAACAGCTCGGCCCGGCAACCAGACGCCACACACCCGGCAACACGACAGCCAATCAGAGTGCAGCGGCTCGTCGTCCTCCACCGAAGTCAGAGTGACCAAGAACTTCTCCCTGCACGCCTGCGACCAGTGCGGGCGAGCCTTCGCCAAGAAGGTACTGGATTTAACATTCTGATATACATGTTTTATGGAGTGAGGGATGTTATTAGATTTAAAAAGTGGATTTCTGTGGAAATGATCAGCTGTATGAACTCCAGTGTGAGGAGTGGGTGAGATGGTTAGCGTCACATTGAATTTCTTCATAAAGACACGGACAGCAGGGGTGGCTCTCTCAAAACTTAGATCAAGTGCTTTGAATTTCTGTGAACTGAGTGTGAATCAATGTGTCTAAGTTTTAAAACACAAGTTCTTCGTTTTCAGCTACACAGATCTGAGAGACTGGTTTTTGACTCTGATTTATTTATATATTGTTATGTAAATGTATGTTTTGTTGAAGAGATGAGACAAATTTGAAGATGCCTGAGGAAAACTACGAATTTTTAACTCAAAAGTTAACTCTTAAATCAAAAATAATTATAACTGCAGTTGATATATCAAGATATGCTAAATACTGGCGGTTACAGCTGATAGTAAGTAGATGTTATCTAGGTTAATGAATAAAATGACCTTTCCTGTGTTTGTCAGCTGTACCTGGAGTCTCACAAGCGAAGCCATCGTAACGCAGTGACGGCGGCGGCCAGCAGGAGGAAAGGAGTCAGCACCCGCTCCAAATCCCTGGTCTGGTGAAACACTCGGTGAGAAAACACTCTCCTCTTCCTCACTGTCCACTCGTCCTCCTCTCAATTCGCCTGGATTGCTTCCTGTCACGTTATGTTCTGTATCTTCACAATGAGGTGCTGCTGCGTGGTTAAGCAACCAAGCAGAGGTGGAAGAAGTACTCAAATGATTCACTTCAGTCAAAGTAGCAATACTACAGTGTAGACATACTCAGTACAAATGAAAAAGGTATTAGCATTACACATATTTGAAGTGCGAAGAGTAAAAGTACCTTTTATGCAAAATGGCCTTTTTAAGCACCAGATATTAAAATAAATACAAATAAATTATTTTTTGTGTTCATCACTTTAATGTGGTACTTAAGTTACTTTTCATACTACTGGGTAGCTTAACCTATTATAATATATTATAATGTGTGTCGATTTGAATAAAACTGCATATAAATCTGCAAAATAAATGTATTGGAGTAAAAAGTAAAAAGTGGCATAATCTGAACATACTCAGTACAAGTAACTCAACATTTTACTTAAGTTCAGTACTTGAGTAAATGTACTTAGTTACTGTGTGTGTGTGTGTGTGTGTGTGTGTGTGTGTGTGTGTTTGTGTGTTTGCATGGAAAGATAAGAGAAGTGACCGCTCAGCAGGTGTAACAGCTGTTTCCTCTCTCTGTGTGTATAACTCTGCTCATTAGAAATCTTCCTCTTTGTCTAATTGTCTTCCTCTCCTTTTTTATTCTCTCTCTCTCTCTCTCTCCTCTCCCCCCTCTCCTCTCCTCTCCTCTCTCTCTCTCTCTCTCTCTCTCTCTCTCTCTCTCTCTCTCTCTGCTCACAGTCTGCAGGGATAAGGCCGCTAACAATGAAGGAGCCAATCAAAACTCTCAACGGGAATATAATGGATGAATGGAAGGAGCGCAAACCAACAGAAGGAGTGCACAGGATTTCCACCTTTTGCTCGAGAACCAAATATAACGTTGGGAATCTTGACATTTATTTTAGTGAAGTTTCATCAGCCGCACAAAGCCGCTGCTATCCACAGAGACTGTAGCAGACAGAGGATTCATTATGCTGTACATATCTGTATTTACTGAATTATCAGAGTCATATGCAGATGGCTGATTTCTACCGCTTTGCTCTCTGTAGTTGAAGGATGGAGGGTGTGTGTGTGTGTGTGTGTGTGTGTGTGGAAGTCAGAACTGGATTGCAACCTACAGAGAAAATCAACTGGAAAGGAAATTTGGACACACATGTTTGGGTCCAACTTATGTTTCGTGTCATTAAGTTATTTGATACTCTCACATCTACTTGCTCAACAGATACACATTTCTCTATTCCAATTTGATTTACCTAACCTTTCCCCACTAACAATTAAGGCTTGGATATTTCCCTTTACTTAAGAGACTTCCCCCAAGTGTTTCCTCTTGTAAGTCTTCACATGGCTACATGCTTACCTTGAACATACGAGTTGAAATATTCTCTTCTAAACGTTGATACTGACAAACCGTCGTATCCAAATTCCCGAAGTAATCTTCATGCAAGCAGCTCCGTAAACTGACTGACCTTAGTCACCAACAGGGATTTGTTCATTAAGAACAGGGTATGGGTAAGTGAAGGGAACCCCAAAATATATTCTTAGTTTCCCCTGAATGAATTGCTTGTGTGTGCTTTGAAAAACAAACGTCTGTCGAGATGTAAATTGTGTTTTCTTACATGTCCCTGAATGTTCGACTAATAGCCTGGTTGTAAGAGAACTGTAAGGCAATGTGAAGTGAGGATTAGGTAACACTCCTACGGTGGCCCGCAGGTGCAATCGCACGACAACGACCCAAAACACTTTCATTAGGAGAAAACGCGCTGCCGTTTCAAAAACGATGCATATATAAAAACCGTGTCTAAACACAAGCAAACATGACTTTATAATAGCCAACTTTATAATCCCTGAATGTCAGCAAGCGCTCGTGTTTTTCAGCTTTTTAGTGTCCCTGTTTTCGTTGTATTTTGAGCGTTATCTGCACGTCTTTTGACACAATTGTGTTTTTAAATATGCATCGTTTTTGAATGATGGGAAGGGAGGGAAGCATTTCGAGGAAAAGTGACACCTTTACTCAACAAAAATCCAACAAACTGCACTCAGTATGATGATTTGAAACATAGAAATATGCTTTGTTTTATGCTTGAAGATTAAATCAAATACATTTTCTTCCAAATGATTTAATTATACTTCAATGTAACAACTCAGTTTAACTGTTGAATCAAGGTGTGCTTCATAACATTTAAACTATCAAATGACCCCCCATGTGGTGAATTACCACTTCTAATGTGTGAGAATCTAATATAAGGTGAGCAGGAGAGAGGTGTTTCGGATTGGTTGGTGTTGCAGGAACATAGAAACAATTAACTGGAAGAATTGAATTTCCGAGCAGCCGGTGTAGGAGCTTTGAACTGATTGTTTGTGGTGTTATAACGGGCCAACATGTGTGAGAAAGCTACACACTTCTTGTCTCCAAAAGTAAAAAGTTTACATTAAACTTTTCGTTCCTTTTACGAAAAAAAGACCAACTGGGATTTCAACTTTGTGAACTTTTCTTTAAGCTTAAGGGGGCTGCGTTGTTTAACGGCAGCAACAGGAACCCCGAGGTAGTCTCTGAAAACACTGGCACGTGAGTTTGGTGGAAAGAAACGGAGGAAGACCAAATGTAGAAATGTTTTAATGTCTTAAACGGAAAGCCATGAAAAGGATCAAAACCAGTGGGAAAGGAAAGACCAAACTTTATTTTTATAAACGCTACTGCAACAAGGTCTTATCTTGGTATAAATAATAGTTCTAATATTCAGAGTAGTTATCGACTTGAACTTAACTGTTGGTTGACCATGCGCTTCAAACATAGTTACTTCTGTCACTGTTTCATACTGTTTGTGTTTCACATTAAATGTCTTTTTTTTGTATTTCATTCCTTTTTTGTTAGAAATGAACTTTAATCGAACCTCACGAGGACATGTTGTAAACTTCTCATTTCCTCATCAGCTGTACTATGTTATTAGAGAAGCCTTCAGATGTGACAGGAATGTTAAAACCAACCACTTAATGAATAAAAATTAACTGCTTCAAACCTCACAGGCGACTGTTTCGTGGCTTCCTCTTGTTCTTTCATGTGTGAGTCATTCACTTCCATCAATCATGTTTGTTTACTGCCTTTGCACACGGCACACTTCATTTGCCTTCTCAGAAATCACTTCTACATCTAGTTTCCCTTCCCACATCATTTCCTGCGTTCCAATCTTTATACAGTCTATGGTTCCAATACGTCTTTTCTTTCAATGTCTCCAAGATACAACATGTTATGCTTGGTTCATTGAGAAACAATATGTTTTAGGCACATTGACATACAATTAATCCATGGTTGATTGAAAACTCAGAAACAGCTTCTTTTTTTTTTAAGTATTCGCTAATTTTGTAATTTGACGGATTTTTACTAATGATGTCATCAGGGTATTTCTGCTTCTAGTTACAAATGTTCAACAGAAATAGTGGTTACACAAAGTGGGGGTGTGGACAGAATAATAAACTCAAATGTTACTTATTTTATTTACTTCCAGTGGTTGCATCCTGGGAAATAGAGGATTGCATGTACAACAACACATGGGCGTCAGAAATGTAATCTAATAGGAACTGGTGCAAACAAGTCATGAATACATATATCAAAAACTGACATGATATAAAAATAAATAACCGTTTTTCTAATCTTTTTTTTTTTTCATTAATCTTAGGGCTTTAAGTAAGGAAACATAATACTCAGTGAGTTCCCTTTCATACAATGTATATAGAATGTTATTAACTTCTGTGTGTCTTGTGTAGTTAGCAATAATAATAATAAATTTAAAAAAAGCTTTATATACAGGGCTGCACATAACTGACGATCGCATGGGTGTCTAAACGTAAACATTTATTGTTTTCTAGAAAGCCACACATAACCAAATATTAATAACCCTTTCCGGGATCTTCACAGAAAAAAAGTCAGGAAATAAATAATAACACTATTAATGAAATAAATAACACTATTTATAAAATAAATAATAACCAAATAACCCTCTCTGGGTTCTTCACAGAAAAAAAGTCCATTGAAAATTACTGTAACTTTCTGTTGTGCCGTGCACAATCTTAACAGGTAAAAGTTTAGCTTAGTTGTCAGAGCAGAATCTCTCAAAATAAACGTGGATTTACGTAAAAAAAACTATTTTTTCGGGGTTCGGATGTTTTGTTTGATTTTAAACAAAGTCTTGGCTTTCAGAATATGAAACTTTTATTTCCAATTTATTTATTTCTCACTCGCAATCTGCTCTTCCGCAGCGCCGCCCCCCCCCCCCCCCCCCCCCCCTCACTCCGCTGAAATTATGAATGTAAGAGTAGGCCTATAGTAATCATAGATAACACTGCAGGGTCCGTTACAGTTTGTTTTCATCTGATTTCAATTAAACAAAGTCTTGGCTTTCAGAATATTAAACTTGTTTCGGCAAATTCAGATGATAAATACAACTTTGAAGCTTCGGCATAATTACAAGCGGAGAACGGAGTAACTTGACGTCACAGCAGGCATAACAGCAGCCGGTGTTTCTCGTGATTGTTTTCCCCGGGAAACAAACACAATACACACAAACGCAAAATTACACAAGCACACACACACACACACACGTATACACACACACTCGCGAGCTTCCCCTCTAAACAAAAATATCTTCCCTCGGTAGTATTTTGATCATTTGCTAATAATCAATCAGATCGATGGATTCCAGAGAAGAGACAACTTTGAAGGCCTTTTTCTCAAAATGATGACTCGGTGACAGTCATTATATAATGTGACATATTTCGCTTAATATTTGAAGTACAAAAACAATCCTGATATCATTAGAAAGCTAGGAATATCCTCTTTCCAACAGTGTATACAACTCAAAAGGTGTCTTCGGATCAATGCGACTGATTTAGATAGAGCAGGTCACAACATTTTGACAGGGGCTAGTCTAGGATTCGCGTGGCCAGACTGAAAAAAATTAAATGAAATTGAAAAAAAAAAAAAAAAAAAAAAAAATCATAATGCGTCTCTGGTATTGTTCAGGGGGCCGGGCCAAATGTGGAGGCGGGCCGTACCCGCCCCGCGGGCCTTAGTTTGGGGACCACTGGTTTAGATAGTTAACTTTAGTCTAAGTTCAAACAGTTTGGTCACAATTTATGTAAACACATATTTCCAAGGCACTCCTTTATAATTATTGGGATAAACAGGTTTTAAATCATTCCAATGTATACTATAGGACAGTAACCAAAAATATCCTTTAAAACTGGAGATAAAAAAAAAAAGCATAAATAAATGTTAAGGTAAAATAAGATATGAATGAACAACACAAATAAAATAAGTTACATTAATTTGTTATTGGCTATGGTAGGTTATTGGTTATGTTCACATACTTATTTGATTACATCCACTTGTCTAAGATGACAACAGAGACTTTCGACCCAAACCCAGCTGTTGACTTGTGGATGCAAGCAGCTAATCGCAGACTCAACCAGAGAGGAAGTAGTAGGCCTACATCATCAGCTACCATGTCTGACAGAGAGGAAGACAGTGAGGAGAACAGCCAGGAGGGTAGTGATGACAGCTTGTAGGATTACTGGTCGTGCTAATGTTGTCTTGTGTTCACCTCTGCATGTGTGTTCTGTGTTCACCTCTGCATGTGCGTTTAGTGCCGTGTGTCTGGCAAATAAAGTCAAGACCCCCTCAAAAGTTACAGTTTATTTCATTTTAAGGATGAGAACCAGGGCAAAAAGGTTATGTGCACCCCTGTATATAGCACCATACAACACGTACAGCTCAAAGTGCTTTACAAAATGGCGACACATCACAAATTGAGAACAAACAAGAAATTCCCCTCAGATTATTAAAAGGTACATGCAGCAAAATATAACATTTGTATCAGGTTGTATCAAGGAGGTAAATGTATGATAATAATGGTTTCTCTCGAGGTAAAACACAAGACCACTGAGTCGATGCAACAATAAATAATATATAAAATATAATATAAAACTCAGCAGGAAACCAATGGACTGTCCACTCCAAGTAGGGAATGAGTCCTTACCCCAAGTGAAGGAGTTCAAGTATCTCAGGGTCTTGTTCTCGAGTGAGGGAACAATGGAGCGTGAGATGGGCCGGAGAATCGGAGCAGTACTGCAGTCGCTTTACCGCACCGTTGTGACGAAAAGGGAGCTGAGCCAGAAGGCAAAGCTCTGTCTACCGGGCTATTTTCGTTCCTACCCTCACCACATATGGTCATGAAGGATGGGTCATGACCGAAAGAACGAGATCGCGGATACAAGCGGCCGAGATGGGTTTTCTCCGCAGGGTGGCTGGTGTCTCCCTTAGGGATAAGGTGAGAAGTTCGGTCATCCGGGAGGGACTCGGAGTTGAACCGCTCCTTCGCGTCGAACGGAGCCAGTTGAGGTGGTTCGGGCACCTAGTAAGGATGCCACCTGGGCGCCTCTCTAGGGAGGTGTTCCAGGCACGTCCAGCTGGGAAGAGACCAAGGGGTAGACCTAGGACCAGGTGGAGGGATTATATCTCTTCGCTGGCCTGGGAGCACCTTGGGATCCCCCAGTCAGAGCTGGTCGATGTCCCCAGGGAAAGGAAAGTTTGGGGCTCTCTGCTGGAACTATACCTCCACGACCCGACCACGGATAAGCGGGAGAACATGGATAATATAAAACAAATAACATGTTCAACTGTTTCCTTATCTAAACCACATTTGCATGTTCCTGATGGGGTTTTCCCAATTATTCCATCCCCTCTTTCCAGTCACATTTATAGCAGCCCACCTCCACAATTAAATCCGACCAATCAGGTCATGACTCACAAACATTGGGTGTTTCTCAATGTCGAGCACACTTCCTTGGTAGGACATGTCTTCCGAGTCAGGTCCTTCAGAAGCGAGGCAAGAATCCTTCCTAGCCTCGGAAAACGAAGAATGGTGGAACAGGCTAACAGGTGTGCGTCATAAATGGAGCGCGATATCCGCCAAAGATTTTGGAAATTGGTTCATGCGCAAAGCATTGTGGAGGATACACATGTGCAGCCTTGAAGCTTCCCGCAACGAAGGACGCCGGCCTCGGTACAATTCCAAGGATCCTGGACATTGGAACAGTCCTTCGGCGGGACTCGATGACGTAGAATCCTTGAAATAGTGGCTCTGGAGCAGCCTTCCTCGACATTGAGAAACATCCATTGTTTCCTAAATCATCAAGGCTTAAGTCGATTCATTATTTTATTCACAAGAATATTGCACATTCAAAAAACAAACAATATCTGCACAAAACTGTTAGTAGCCTATTTAAGTTAATTGGCCAACATTACATCACATATTATTTGACCAATGACAATAGAGACTCCAATTCCTCCTACAACACAGATAAGTAGAACTTTGGAGGCGTGCTCCTCCCCCCCCCATTGAGCACTGAAACAAGATGGCTTCCAGGACTGAAACACAGGAAATGGTGATGACTTGCATGGTTGTGTCTTTTAAACATATTTTTAAGAAGTACAGTGTTACGCCCAGATCTAGGGGAACCTAGGCGCAGCATAAAATTGCCCTCTCCCAACTCTTCCCACTCCCAATAATTGGTCAATGACACAGGAAATCAGCTTTTTGAGATTTAATATACTCAAAAACGAGGTGCGACAATCTTGTGAGACTGACCGTTGAGCGGCCCGACCAAGCAAGGAGGCAGAGGCAGAGAGTTCACATATATCCCGGTGTGGGCATTTATTTAAATCATAGACACAGCCTCAATCTGACTGTCCATGTGAACACCATCACCAACCACAAGGATCTCACACACACACTGACAGGAAAGACAGAGCCTAAATACAGCCAGACCAATCAAAGCAACAATACGCAGGTGAGGGGGGAGGAGACAACACCGGGCACATACAATCAGCAGCAACAGACATGGGGGAGTGATACGTCAACTTTACACAGTGGTAACTTGTACAATTAATGCAACTTAACGTCATCATTTATACACCCTCAACATATTATTTGCACCCTGATTACTCTCAACCGCTGTCATTCTTA